GACACAAGCAGTGCCACCTTCTCTGAGCAGAAATAAAATGAAGGCTAACTGGAAGCCACCAGCCCTCCTCTTCACCTGTGTCCTGAATGGCAGAAAGCCAGGAGCAGATTGACCCGGCCGTGCCCGGCTGCCAGACAGGCCAGACTGCAGGGCCTGTGTGTGTGTGTGTGTGGGGGGGGGCAGCCCTGAGAACCCCCGACCTGGGGACGCAGCGTCGGCCCCGGGAGATAACCAGAAGGCCGTGACAGGCGGAAGGGGCTGCAGTGCCGTGACTGGGGGCGGTGCACCCACAGTGGCCCACAAACCCTTCGTGGGGTCACAGAGGACATCCACTGAGGGCCTGGGACTCGCCAGGAGCATTGTGGCTTTCGTTCCCTTTGGCGGAAAGCACATTTGTAGTAATGAAACTTGGTGATCACCAGGGGCTGTTTGGCGGGTGGCGAGGTGCGCAAGCTTGGGTCGAGTTGGAAAGCTCGACGGAGGGCTTGTGGGGGAATTGGGTCCAGCTCTCTAGACCTCTGCCCCTCCAGCCCCCCAACCACTCCTGTTAGGCCATTAGGGAGCGTCAGGTTGTTTGGGTGGTGGCATTTAAGTAATTGGGAGCTGTAACTGAGTCCCTGCTTTGCAAGTGATGGTGGACACGCTACCTGACCTGAGCTCTTTGACCTGACTTCCTTATAAATGGGCCATGCACACGTGACGTTGCTTCTTTGTGTCTTTCTACAAGAATGGATATTAAGGAGTGAACACTTTTTGAGTAGGACTAAAAGTCTGCAGAGGCAGTAGTAATTTTTTATTTGATAACATGCATTTATGCCAGATCTTGAAGAATTGAGCTCTTTGAGCTCTATCCCCAAGGCTGGGCCTCCCAGCTCATATCTAAGGCGTTCTGGAGGAGGGGTGGGCTCCAGGCCTCCTTTTTCTGCCGGTTGCTTTTGGTTGCAAGGATGAGCCTTTTAGGAAAAATAACCAAGTTCATTAGAGCAGATCCTGGTGCCATGCAAGTTCCTGGGCTTTTGTTCCCAGGCTGTGGGACCCTGCCCGTGACCCCCCCACCACTGTGGGCCAGAAGAATAGCCCTAAGTCACAGGCCAGCTTGGTGACCCGGCCTTTCTCATCAGCCCCTACTTCATTCAGTAAAGTCATTTTTTCTAGTTCTAT